ATTACGATCCTTGACTCTTTAACAAGAAGATTGTTAACGACTGCGAGTGATGCTCTCTCACTCCAGTATGGTTTCAGTGATGTTGTCAGTCTGTCTTTGATTGGCCATCCCTCTAGGCAGAACCTTTTTAGCTCCTTGCACACAACATCTTCGTCTTGTAGCTCGATTATCTCTTGCAGCTTTGCGTCAGAGACGGGTAGTGTCTGAATAAAGCTGTCCACGTGTGCCTTCATTTCTTCATCACTGATGGTTGGCACAGCATTCTGCTGTTTGCTTTGTAGTCTTGACAGGGCATCTGCCACACACAATTCTTTACCTGGTGTATGCTTGACTTCCTTGAAGTTGAATCGCATCAGTCTCATTCTCATTCGCTGAATCCTTGGAGTGAGTTGATCCAATGTGTGCGTCGTGAGAATTGGCATTAATGGCTTATGATCTGTTTCAACATAGATGACTTTTCCCACGATGTAGTCGCTAGACCCTCTCGCAGGCCCAGGTGATGGCTAACGCCTCTTTCTCTATTTGTGCGTATCGCTTTTCTGTGGGTGTCATTGCTCTTGAGATATATGATATAGGTCTCCAGGTCTGATCAGTTTGCTGCTGTAGCACCACTGCTCCCAACCCATACGACGACGCATCTGCAGAGACTTTTATTTCTTTGTTTACATCATACTTTGCTAGCGTTGGTCTCTTCAACAGAGATTCGCTTTCTGCTGTGAGTCTTGCCAACACCATGCATTATTCTTTTGTAGTAGGTCTCTGATAGGTTWAGTCTTTTCAGCAAGGTGGGGTGTGAATTTGCTTAGCTGGTTGACCATACCCAAGAACATTCTAACTTCACTAACATTGTTAGGGCTTGGAAGGTCGGCAATTGCTTTCACCTTTTCTGGATCTGCCTCTATACCTCTAGCACTTATTACGTGTCCAAGGAACTTGACTTCAGGTTTGCTGAATTCACACTTGCTCAGGTTTAGGGTCATTCCGGCATCTCTTACTCTTCCCAGGACAGTTTGAAGTCGAGTGTCGTGTTCRCCTTGTGTTKTACCATGAATCAGGACATCATCAATACTGCAYTCTACACCGTCCAATCCCTCGAGGATSATATTCATGTTCTTTTGGAAWTTCTCAGAGCCAGAGYTTATTCCATATGGCAAGACGTTGAACATGAACCTACCCCAGGGTGTGATGAAAGTTGTCAGGTGTCGAGATTCTTCAGMTAGAGGGGTTTGCCAAAATCCCGAATTGGCATCCACTTTGGAGAAAACTGAGGCGTCTGACAATTTAGCAAGTGTTGTATCAATAGCTGGTAGGGGGTGATTTTCTCTTTTTACGTAACGGTTGAGTGCTGTTAAGTCCACACAAATCCTTACTTAATCATTTGACTTTGGCCGTACCACCATGGGTGCACACCATTCGGTGGGTTGGTCTACTTTGGATATTACACCTGATTTCAAGATGCGGTCTAGTTAATTATTTCTTGGTATTTTCGTACAAAGGCAATGCAACCTTTCTTGGAACTGACAGTGAGTAGGGTTGTGCATTCTCTTCAATTGTTATCTTATACGTATACTCATCTTTCATGTGTCCCAGACCAAGGAACAGCTCAGGATATTTCTCTTCTATGGATTTTCCATAGTGATCCCTGACTGCATTGACAAGCGATATCAGGCCTAACTTCACTGCAGCTGTTCTGCTTAGCAGATTTCTCTCTAGGTCTTTGATGACATACACTTGCTCTATGGTGTTCTTGTCTGTTGATGAAGCGTATATGTTTGGCTTGAACACACCTACACACGTCATTTTGTATTTGCATGGTCCCATCAGAACTTTGCTTGTATGTTGCAGGCTTTGTTGTGGTTTTGTGTTTTTGTAGGTATTCTCTGTTATTACAGTAACGTCAGCTCCTGTATCTATCTGGAATTGTACGGGGTTTCCATTCAGCTGTAGTACTGTTTTTAGCTCTCCTGTAGTGACACTTATTGCATCAATGACTTCTCCAAGAAACAGCTCCGAGTCAGTATCTACTTCTAGTAGGCGTCCTGGTTTTGACTTTGTTGCTCTGCATACCTTACTCCAATGTCCCTTTTTATGGCAGCTATTGCACTTTGAGTCTTTGGCTGGACATTTGGCTTTAGGATGTTGCGTACCTCCACATTTACCACATTTTCCTCGATAGTTTGACTTCTCTGGTATTTGTGGCTTGGATAGTGTGCTAGGCTTAGCTCTCCTGATTCTGTCTACATTGGCTGGTGCAGTTTCTTTATGAATTACGCTTTGTTGTTTTTTTATCATTTCGGACTGTTTAGCTTGTGTTATGGCTACTTCTAGGGTACGTTTTGGGTCAAGTTGCAGTCTGCAGTCTGCAGTCTGCAGTCTGCACTCTGAGAGTCGTCTGTCCCTCAGTCCTACAACAATTCTATCTCTGATTAGTTCCTCCTTCAATATCTTAAAATCACAGTACTGAGCAAGTTTGTACAAGTCTGTAATAAAACTATCAACTGTTTCATCTTGTTGTTGGACTCGTGAATTCAATTTTGCTCTTTCAAAAATCACATTTCGTTTAAGCGTGAACTTATCTTCAAACTTGCTTCTTACTGCGTCATATTTTTTTGCTTGCTCGGTGCTTAATTCAAATGACACAAAGATATCATCGGCTTCTTCGCCCATTGTATATATTAACGTGCTGACCTGACTTTCTTCGTCTTTTTTATCCAGAGCTGTGACTTTTCTGAATCTTTCGAACCTTCTTATCCATTTTTGCCATTCCTCTGCTTTGAAAGAGAACTTTTCAGCGGGGTGGAACTTGAAAGCTTGCAACCGAAGCACAGACGATTTCTTGTGGTGGGTTTTCCGGCATTATTTCACTTTTTCTGAAGTTTTAGTGAGTAAAATATTCGGCTTAAACTTCACTTGACGTAAGATTTAGCTTTTCTTTAGTTAATTTATCCCACCGCTGCCACCATGTTGAGTTATTGACGAGTGAAGTATGACAATACAAACTTGCGTCCGCCATGTTTATTCCTCGTGGTCAACTAACTATATTAGTTTCCAGTCTCTCTCATACATAC